AAAAAATTATTTTTCATTTTATAGCTCCTAGAAAAATGGGGAAGTCTGACTGTTTTATGCAGATGCCCAAAAAAGACCGTAAGTATATTTTTTAAACAAAAATTAACTTTATTTTTAATGATTTCATAACTTATGCCTTTGCACATTTGTGAACATGAAATTATCATTAGAAAGAGCAACTCGAGCAAGAACAAAAATTCTTAGAAGAAGAGGAAGCACGTAAAACAAAAGAAATAGAGGAAGAGAAACGAAAAAAAGAAGAAAGAAGAAAACGTGAGGAGCAAGAAGCACAATCCCGGAGGAGAAATTATTACAACAATCGTAGCCACCGTTTTTCAAGATCTTACACGCATTACACTCCTTATCATTATAATCGTAATCATTATCATAATAATTACAACACTAATGCTGATCAAGAACAAAGGCCAAGATATGAATCCAGACGTGACTTTTATGATTCGTATAGACCATCTTCAAATAATTCATATCGGCTATCAAATAATAATTATAATAACAATAGACCAACAGCCACATCTACTGATCGATATCAACCTATTCCACAAACAGTCGCGCGTCATCAATCAAGAAATCTAAATGAAAGTGAAATTTTGGATACAGCGGCAGTAATTGATAATAAAGTAACAACAACATCATCATCGCAAGTAAATTTGCCTCAACCACAACAGTCAACTTTGTCATTGACTGATCCCACCTCACAAGTTTCAGAAGGGGCGAAGGAGGAACTGGCGGCTGCAACGAGCGAGGGGGAGTTTAAGGCGAAGGTAAAAAGTTATTCTTGTATTAATAAATTTTTTATTGGATCATTTAAAAATACTAATTCCATATATTATCTTATTGAAACAGCTCCAAAGGTTGGTGATCGATCGTTGCAGCCGCTGGAAGGGGGAATTTACGGTGGCGGAGTTCAAGAAACACGCCAGGAGGGTGAGAGAAATTCATTGTTAAATTCATTAATATTATTGTTAACAATTCTAACCTAAAATTATTTGTTATAAATAGCTGGCCCATCTGGTCGTGGAGAAAGAACTCCGCCGCCAAAAGGAGGGGGAATACATCGTGACCGACTCCCTTCGGTCGCGTATCAAGAAGTTTGTCACCGATTATATCGGCAAACTTCTTGCGCACCGAGGGGAGTCCCTCGAGACTTCCTCTTTTGCTGGTCAGAAGAGAGGTCTCGAGGACCGCTCGGGGGAGGGTGGTCACAAAAAACAAAAAAATTAAAAAATTTTTTATGTATTTATATATATAGACTGTACAATAGAATTTTTTGTGTATAATAGGCTAATAGAATTCATCCCTAATAACAATTATTTAAACATCGATGCGTGTTATCTTGTGTGAAATTGATGTGATAATATTATGTTAAGTTTTAATCAACCCGCAATTTAATATAACGTATGGCGGTCATTTCGCTTGACATAAGGAGATCCTCTTATTAAGTTGGTGACGGCAGAGTGAGCTATTTTATGTTTAACAATCGATCAATTTTTTATTTAATTAACTTATTTTTCATGTGTCATAATTGAATTTCGCATATACAATTATTATTTAAAAAAGGGCGTAATTATTATTAAAAAGAGTGATTATTAAAAAACAATCATAATTATTAAAGGCGTAATTATTACTTAATAGATAATAGGCGGGTGGAGGGTAATTTATACGTGACAATTACTATTATTGAAATAATGTTAATGATTATTAAAATTATTGTTTTTAATATAAAATTAAAAAAGTATATAAATAAAAAAATAAAAACGTATCCTATCAAGAACAGTTGTTAAAGCTTCTTTCAATCCTCAACGAATCTTCTAACTTCCTTTATATTACCTTGATCTGCTAAATTATAATATCGATCTCTCACCTATTCAAATAATTCATTCATAATTAATCAATCTTTTGCAACAATTGTCTCTGCCTCCAATTGAGATTGGGATATTTCCATTAAATCACGAGACTAATACATCTCCAATCCACTTTTTTTCGAATGTTACTTGAAAACTTTTCCAGACTTTAGGTGTCAAAATATCAGCCTCACTGCAAAATTGCTTGTGAAAAATATGGTGCAAGGCAGCATATAATAATTGAAAAACCTGCAAACACTCTCAGCAATCATGAGGTTTGATCCATTTCAAGATGGCATGTACCTCTTCCACACTGAGTTTCTGGACAGGAAAGAGAAACTTGTGGATTTCGACAAGAACTTCTGAATTTACATTGGCGATGGATATTTTTTGTGCGAAAATTAATGGAGACTTCTTTTGCCATTGCTTCTCTTTTTTTGTCGAGTTCTGAGATTATATAGCATACATCTAATGAATAAAGAGATCAAAGATAAAATTAATAAGAGTGAAAGAGGAGAAAATGAAAAAAAGCAAGGAAGCAGAAAAGGAAAAAGAGGAAAGGAAAGCATAGAAAAAAAAGGGAGGGGGAAAAAGATTGAAGAAAATGAAAAAAAGAATCGAAAGAAAGCGGAAAATAAAGAAACAAGAAAAAAAGGAGGGAAATAAATAAAAAACCATAAAAATAAACTAAGAGGAAAAAGGAAATAATAATAGAAATGAAAAAATCGAAAAAAAAATAATTAATTAAAAAATGTAATTAATTAAAAAAAATATAATTAATAAAAAAATAAAAAGGGAAGAGAATTTTTTCAAAAGAAATAATAAGCAAAAAGATGACGATAATATGAAAAAAAATAATAAAAAATAATAAAATAATAAAATAATAAAATAATAATAAATAAAAGAAAGAAAAGATAGATCAAAAAAATTTTAAAAAGAAAATAATAAGCTAAAAGATGATAATGATAGAAAAAAAAAAAGAGAAGAATAAAACAAAAAAATAGGTAAAAAAATAATAATAAAATAATACATGTAATGATAAAAGATAAATCAAGACGTTAAAAGAGAGGTTAGGAACGACGGGCTCGCACTTTTGAGCAAAATACGAAATTCAAAGCAAATTTATTTGCAGAAGCAACAGAGTAATTGGAGAAGACGAAGAAGGAAAATAAAAACTTGAAGAGGAAGTTGAAGGGAACAGAATAATTAGAGGAGGAGAATCGGTATTTGAAGAGGAGGTTTGTGGAATTGGAGAAGGAAAAAGAGTCCTCATCATCTACACCTAAATCCGAAGATGCCTATCAAGATGAACAAAAAGAAAAAGAAGCAAGGATAATGGAGGAGATTGAAGTTTTGAAAAATCATATGAGCGAAACGTCGAAAATTTGTACGAGAAAATGTGGTTATATGAAGAGAAGAGTCAATTTCAGGAATCTCAAATCGATTGGTTAAGACAGCAATATTTAGCTGCTCCGAAGGTTGCGGATTTGGAAAAATTCCGTTCCGCGAAGAAAATGAATTTCTTGCTGCGGATTTGAAAAGACTCTGCGAAGAAAACGAATTGCTTGTTCGCGAAAGAGGCTTGTATCCCGGGAACAAGAGTTTCTTAAGCAAGAACATGAAGAATTAAAGAGGAAACTTGAAACGTAAGGACTCAAATCTTATTTAAATTGAGTACTTTATGTTGCTACCGCTATTTTTATTAGCATCATCATCTATTCATCATCATTATCATTTGCAATTTTATTGGCTCGCAAGGTGGCGACTTTATGATAGTTGCCATCTTTTAGAAATTTAAATTTATATATAATAGAGATTTTGAGTAAAGAAAAAAAGTGGTGTAATATACTCCGATAGTGTCCATTATAGAAAATTCGACTTTGTAGTTAAGATTATAGTGCTAAGCAGATTTAATTCGAACATTTTTTTCTCTCAAAGACAAACGTACGTTATTTTTCTCATGTATCAATCTATCAATCAATCTATCTATCTATCTACCAATCAATCAATCAATCAATCAATCAAACAATTTATCAATTAATAAATTCATTCAATCATCATTTCATATTCTCATCAAATTTTAATAGCCGATAAAAGCCTGTCAACTTCTGGAAATTATTATATTTCCGCCTTTTGTTCTTTAATTTCACACGCACGATTTAAAGTATTAATAGGATCCCTGATCAGAAATCTCCTCTTTGTGCCCTTATTAAAACTAATATTTGTAAAGGTCAATTTGTGTAAAATCGCCATAGGAAACCTTTAGAATAATAAAAGAAAACCTTAATTCAGTCTTGCTCCTTTACTTATCTTGCCACACTTACCCTCTAAATCCACTAAATCCAGGAAGTGTGCAACATTTTGGTGCACTCTCTGTGGAAGTGAAATCCACTCCACACGAAAAACCTTTAGCTTATCCATATCGAGCCAAGATATTCATGTTGATGAGAGAATATTATTCCTTAACTGGTCAACTACTAAACTTGTACAACAATCACACGAGCTGTTTAATGTTTTTTATTATTTATTATTATTGTTGCAGAATCTTCAAGTTAAATTTTATACCAGTGTTTCAACGTGATTCTTTGAGGAAATAATAGACACTGACTTTGATAATGCGTCACCAATACTATTTAAGCAGCGGATCGTACGACTAACTTTTCAACGCTATTGTATTTAGCAATAGCCGTTTGACGCAGGATCAGACACATTTAGTGATCTCTATACTCAAAAGAATTCATGCCATTCAAAGTCTGAATCACGCAGTAATAATTGACGAAGAACTGGAAGAACCATTAAAACTCAAAATCACTCAGAAACAGGGAAATTAGAAGGGTATTTACAAGAAATCAATTATCTATCAGATTTGGAAGGAAATGAAGAAGGAGAACAAATCGAAATAGAGAATATACCATCCAGAGAACGATTTAGTTATATTTCATCCAGAAGTGCTCGAATTATTATCAGCATCTTTGATTCAAACATGCACACCAGGGGAAATGATGAATGTAGAAGACATTTTGAATGCATTAAATGTCTTGGTGAACACACTCAATAATCAAAATAATAAGATTATTATATTAATAAAGAAATTTCAGGAAGGCAATCAAAAGTAGTCACAATCACCAATGGGCTCACAAATGAATGGGGAATCCAGGTCATTCGTGAATATCTGGCAGAATCAGCACCCTCTACTGAAGTAATTGAATCGAGTGACAGCGAAGAGCAAGTTCAACCCGAGAATTCCAATAACTTATCTTCTCAAAATGACACCCAGAATGCGATGCAACGTATCTATATTGATCTCGTGGATGACAATGAAGAGAACGAGGAAAATGAGGGACAAACTGAAATAATATACATTTCAGATGAGGAAGAGCCCGATTATGATAATGAGGAGGAGCTCAATTATGATAATATAAAGCCAAATATTATGGAAACTCAAGCAGAAATTCGCCGAAGAATTCATTTATACAGCCAGATACGTCCTCAAACTGAAGAAGAACGCGAATATTCACTTATTAAACATATTAATAACTGCAAATTTTTGCGCATGACACACTATGTCAATAAATATAGCCACATCTTAGCTTAATCTATATGGTTACGTATATTCGCATATTCATTACATCATGAATCAAAACATTAGATCGTGTGAAGTATTCGCAAAAAGCTCAAAAATGTTGACTTACAAGCAATTAGTGCTCCGAAGGGTCGAATCGGGTCGGGTTTTGGACATATTCGTATTCGACCCGAGTATAAAAATTAAAATATATAATACTCAGGTTAGCATTTATACAACCCGAACTCGACTCAACCCTTTAATTAACCAACTTGTACCAACTCGAACTGACTCGACCTTTATTAAAAATTTGGGTCGGTAGCAAACTTAAAAATACTAAATTTGTCGGTCATGTAACCCGAACTCGACTCGACCCTTTAATTAACCAACTTGTACCAACTCGAACTCGACTCGACCTTTGTTAAAAATTTGGGTCGGTAGCAAACTTGAAAAATACTAAATTTGTCGGTCATATAACCCGAACTCGACTCAACCTTTGTTAAAAATTTAGGTCGGTAGCAAACTTGAAAATACTAAATTTGTCGGCCATACAACTCGAACTCGACTCGACCCTTTAATTAACCAACTTGTACCAACTCGAGCTGACTCGACCTTTATTAAAAATTTGGGTCGGTAGCAAACTTAAAAATACTAAATTTGTCGGTCATGTAACCCGAACTCGACTCGACTCTTTAATTAACCAACTTGTACCAACTCGAACTCGACTCGACCTTTGTTAAAAATTTGGGTTGGTAGCAAACTTGAAAAATACTAAATTTGTCGGTCATATAACCCGAACTCGACTCGACCTTTGTTAAAAATTTAGGACGGTAGCAAACTTGAAAAATTCTAAATTTGTCGGTCATACAACTCGAACTCGACTCGACCCTTTAATTAACCAACTTGTACCAACTCGAACTGACTCGAATTTTGTGGTCGGCAGCAAACTTGAAAAATACTAAATTTGTCGGTCATATAACCCGAACTCGACTCGACCCTTTAATTAACCAACTTTAACCAACTTGTACCAACTCGAACTCGACTCGACCTTTGTTAAAAATTTGGGTCGGTAGCAAACTTGAAAAATACAAAATTTGTCGGTCATATAACCCGAACTCGACTCAACCTTTGTTAAAAATTTAGGTCGGTAGCAAACTTGAAAAATACTAAATTTATCGGTCATACAACTCGAACTCGACTCGACCCTTTAATTAACCAACTTGTACCAACTCGAACTGACTCGACCTTTGTTAAAAATTTGGGTCGGTAGCAAACTTGAAAAATACTAAATTTGTCGGTCATATAACTCGACCTTTGTTAAAAATTTAGGTCGGTAGCAAACTTGAAAAATACTAAATTTGTCGGTCATATAACCCGAACTCGACTCAACCCTTTAATTAACCAACTTGTACCAACTCGAACTGACTCGACCTTTATTAAAAATTTGGGTCGGTAGCAAACTTAAAAATACTAAATTTGTCGGTCATGTAACCCGAACTCGACTCGACCCTTTAATTAACCAACTTGTACCAACTCGAACTCGACTCGACCTTTGTTAAAAATTTGGGTCGGTAGCAAACTTGAAAAATATAAAATTTATCGGTCATATAACCCGAACTCGACTCGACTTTTGTTAAAAATTTGGGTCGGTAGCAAACTTGAAAAATACTAAATTTGTCGGTCATACAACTCGAACTCGATTCAACCCTTTAATTAACCAACTTGTACCAACTCGAACTGACTCAAATTTTATTAAAAATTTGGGTCGGTAACAAACTTGAAAAATACTAAATTTGTCGGTCATATAACCCGAACTCGACTCGTCCCTTTAATTAACCAACTTGTACTGACTCAAATTTTGTTAAAAATTTGGGTCGGTAGCAAACTTGAAAAATACTAAATTTATCGTAACTGACTCGACCTTTGTTAAAAATTTAGGTCGGTAGCAAACTTGAAAAATACTAAATTTGTCGGTCATATAACCCGAACTCGACTCAACCCTTTAATTAACCAACTTGTACCAACTCGAACTGACTCGACCTTTATTAAAAATTTGG